GGCGGGGAGACAGGGAGGGGCTGCGGCACTGGCTGCAGCGGGTTTGGGGGCTCGCAGGCCCCTGCTGTGTGCCCCTCTCCCGCCCTCTGAGGGGGTCACCGCAGATCGGACACTGAGCCCACCCAGGCCGAGTACCCTATTCAAGGTCACACACTGGGGCCAGGCAGGGCAGCCACGGATGCTCGAGAGACGGCACCCCAGTTTTTATAAGCCCCGGGCTGGGGTCCTGGTCAGGGTGCATGCCCTGGTTGTGGGCTCCATCCCCAGTAAGGGGCAGCCAATCAGCGTTTCTCTCTCATCATTGATGTTTCTCTCTCTCTCTCTCTCTCTCCCTTCCTCTCTCTGAAATCAAGAAAAACATATTTGATAACAGCAAGCAGTGAGAGACATTCACCAGACAAGAAAAAAGTGCTAAGAGCATTCAGAAATCTCACTTAGGATTGGAATAGATTTGAGAAAGCTCTACAAGGAACTGGAATGTAAGCAGATGGAGAAAAGGACATTTCAGGGAAAAATGAGCATATGAAATGTTCAGTACATGAAATGTTCAGAGGTCAGGGAATAATTCAACATCACTGAATAAAGATGTCCAATAGGCAAGTTGTGGAAATAAATCAAGAATGATTTGGATTTGATGAGTTATACATTTTCTAGTAAACTTAAGTGTTAATCTCTAACTGTTAAAATAACAAGTATTGCCCTGGATGGTGTGGCTCAGTGGATAGAGCGTCGGCCTGCGGACTGAAGGGGCCCGGGTTTGATTCCGGTCAGAGCACATGCCCAGGTTGCGGGCTTGATCCCCAGTAGGGGGCGTGCAGGAGGCAGCCGATCAGTGATCCTCTCTCATCATTGATGTTTCTATCTCTCTCTCCCTCTCCTTTCCTCTCTGAAATCAATGAATATACATTTAGAATAAATAAATAAATAAACAGAAGGAAGTTTGGGAAATTCACAGATACGTGGAAGTGAACAAACTCCTCAGTACCCAGGGGCTCAGGAAGCACGGGGCCGGAGACGGGGAGACGTGCGGAGATGAGCAGAGACAGAGCGTGAGGCGAGAGCAGCCCACGGGGGCTTATGCCTGTAAATGTCTTTAGAGAGAGAACATCTCCCAGTAAAAGCCTCTCAGCTTCCACTCCGAGAAGCTAGAAGAGGAGTGAACCAGAGGCAGAGCGAGCAAAAGGAAGGAAAGTGGAGATCCGGGAGCCGGTAAAAAAGACAGACACCAGCAAAGCAGCAGGTAAGTCAGGGAAGCCAAAGGCCGTTCCTTGACAAGATAACCGCGTGGACACAGCGTTCGCAGACTGACCAGGAGAAAGGAGTGAAGGTGGAGATGGACAAACGCCTGAAGGACACAGACGGCTGGAGCAGCCTGAAAAAGGGCCCCGAGCAAGCACTGGGTGGCCCTGGGTACCTCCCAGCCCTGGGTCTCCTCGCTATTCAGTCTGGGGGTAACAACATGATCCCCAGGTCCCCCAGCTCTGAATCCCCGAGTGCCCTGGGGCCCCACAGGAGGTTTCTGGGAGGCACACGGGGGACCCTGGCAAGCACAGCCCAACCTGTCTGAGGCCACAAGTCCCCAGACCCCCCCCCGCCTTGGTTCTTCCCTGAGGTTCAGAGGGCCCCCTGCC